GTTATATCTAATAGTAAATATATTGCAAAACATTCACACATTTTCCAATCAAAACAAAGTATTTCATGAAACATAGCCATAGATATTCATATTACAGGAATCAAATATTACTGTTTTATTATACATGTTTATATTGCAGGAATTCAAAATGACTGTTTTATTATACAAGTTTATATCACGGGAATTAAATATTACTGTTTTATTATACAAGTTTATATTACAGTTATCAAACATTACTGTTTTAATAAACAATTTTATATTGCAGGAATTGGTGTCTGCTTAAAAACTAACAATAGCAACAGCATAATATCAATATTAACAATGACATTTTTTTTTTTTTGCAGTACTAATGATATTGGTATTATTATAGTAAGCAAATGTTTCATCCAATAAAAATTCAAAGTAACATAAAATAAATTGTTTATGATAGTGACCATTAGTAAATAAAGTTGACATGAGATCACATGAAACATATATAAAGATAAAAAAAATATGTTTATTATCGGTAACATTTATAAATCATTCATTTATTGCTGAATATTATTTTTTCTAATATTATTTTTAGTAATAATAATAATATGAGATTTATTCTATAGATTAATCATTGTTTTAGAATCAGAACTGTATGAATTGGCCACTCATTCTTATTAATTGGTTTAGGAATTCCTCCCCGACAATAAAAGCATTTTAGCCTCTCACTGTGTGCACTTTACAATAAGAGCCAATTAACATGTATGCAATAATGCAGACTGTGGTTAATATTTGATGGCTACAGTTGGCTCCACGGGAGGAGCTGCAGCCTCTCCACAGAGCAGCAATCAATAGATTTTATTGCCTAAGTGATGGGGTCGCTTCTAATAGAGATGGATGATCTGTATTATCAATATTAATGGCTGTAATACCTGAAGGAACGGTATTGCGATCACAAACTCCGTCCTTAAGTAATTTATCTCGAATTTCCCAGCTGAACATACCCGGGTTGTCTCGTTTAAACTCTTCAATCTTCTTCTCCACATCTGGAGTGGTCACCTGCTTTAGAGAGATAAGGACAAGTCGTGAGTCCAGCGGCAGGCAGCAACTCCCATCCATACACACCGTACACACACACCACACACAGGGGAGAGCAGCAGCGCCACAGAGCACTTCTCCCCGGACCACACAATTCTGAGGCTCCAATAACCTCATTACAAGAAATGCCACAAGTAGAGAAATGACTATTCTGCTATTCCAGCAGCAGCACTGCACAATCACAGCAAGGATAGACACAGAGATGCGCAATAGGTGAGGACATTCAGATGAATGCATGTATTGTATACACGACCTGAAACTCTAATTGCTTGTATTATAATTATTACCTTCTACTTTCATTCTTCATTCTGTGTAAACCTACCCCTACCTGTCCTGTGTACACACCGCTATGTACAATATACTAAAAACAAATGGACATGTTTCTATTTGAGCCTGACGTGGGAATAGAGCTCCTGCAGTGGGATCTCGCTGACATAAGAGTGGCGCAGTTTGACTCCGGGTCAGTGGTGTTTATTGGCTCTATTGATCCCTCCTTAAATGGCCTGTAGCAGCATATGGTTCTGTGCACAGGATATCTGACACTGCACTCTCCCCACATACTCATTGCTTCTATGAGTAAAACATGGGTACAGTGTATGAGTTCATCATATGGCAGTGATGATCTGTAGTGCAGTCAGTGTTACAGTCCTAGCTTAGTCCTGCTGATGAATGTATAAGAGTGTAGAAGTTAGTCCAGCGACTTGCATGGGACTGTCCAGCACTCAGATAACAAGGCAGCACACGTTCTACATTCGCACAAGTGGCCCCAGTGGGTCCTCACCTTGGGTTTGCTGCCTCCGATGGCTCCAGGTCTGATGGATCCTGTCTCCTGGTACCTGCACAGGATCTTGGACACACAGCCATGGGACACCCTGAGCTGTCGTGAGATGACACAAGGTCTGATGCCATGATGGGCCATCTCCACTATCTTATGCCTGATGTGATTGGGAAGAGGCCTGCCATTGATGAACACACCGCCGAGCTGATTCACTCTGCCTTGTCCTAGAGGAGTGGATACTGCATGTTAAAAAGACATTAGATAGTTATTATTAATAGACTTTCACTGCAACACATCACCCTACATGTGCCCTATTACCCTGCACACCCTGCTAGCTCTAAATTACCTGACACACATTGATGCTATAAAGTTAAATAAACTCCCACGGAAAATACAATGAGGAACCCATAGAAATATTAGGAATTATTCACACATTCCCACTGACAGTATAAAGTGTATTTATCACCCCATATAAAATACAATGAGGAACCTGTAGAAGAATTGGAAATTAATTGCACATAACCTACCTAATATACACGGATAGTATAAAGTTTATCACCCCATATAAAATACAACAAGGTGCTATGGAAAAAACAGGAATTATTCGCATGATCTATCCGATTCACATTGACAGTATAAAGTCTAAGCACACCATATAGAATACAATAGAAATATTAGAAATTATTTATACGCTGATAATAATATAAAAAGTACTTGTGATATTGTTCTAGAAATATACTGTAACAAAGCAACACCTAAATCATCACGAATCTATAATCTTAATAATCAATTATTTTCACTTGTTACACAATAATACAAAGAAGCAGACATCAGTAAATTATTTATCCCAATTATATTTAAAGACAATACGACGTGTGGTTTGAATTCTTGCGAAGTAAAATATAAAGATAGATAGATAGATAGATAGATAGATAGATAGATAGATAGATAGATAGATAGATAGATAGTCTCTGTTTATTTTAAGCTTTTACTTTATGCTATTCGTTTCCTATAATGCAATACATATCTAAAAGAATGCAAACACTAAACAGATCATTGCAATAATTCAGCGCTGACATTATTTGTAATTAATTGGGGACGGGTTATAATGACACATATGTAATGATAATGGGATCACATCATTATCCAGTTGGTAGCCCAGCGTTCAGCAGGCAATACCCCGGCATATTATTATACTGTAAGCATTTCCCTTCCATGGAGCACGCTGACATGAGCTGTGGAGGAGCTGACAGCAGGCAGAGGAGACAGTCAGACAGACAGCGATCTGCACTTTCATAAAATAATCATAACCTCATCCGAATTGTACGGAGACTGGACAGCCCGGGGGATTTATCAAATGGGCCTCCATGTCTGACACTTAAGTACAATGACGTATGTGTGTATATATATACTGCTCTGGGGGTGCACTGGACAAACACAACTTGTGTGTGTGTTTATGTGGTGTGTGTGTGTCTGTGTGTATATATATCTATATGTGATGTGTATGTGTATATTTATTAAATATTATGTGTGTGTGTGTGTGTGTGTGTGTCCCCCTGAGCAGCACACATGTACTTTTCTATACAAATAATTTTTAGCACACAGAACTGAAGTTCGGATGTAACAATTATTATTGTAGAATATATGTGGTGAGCCTTTTCTATTAAGCTGTTATTACAAAGTATTTTAGTCTAACCAAACCTCTCAATGATAGCTTGTTGGTGTCATTTAAAATACATATGTTGTGGCTTTTAAGTATAAATACATCTTTTGTATCATTTAGTTACAACTACATATTTTGTAAATGCAGCCAGTCCCTATGTATTAAGAGGAAAAATAAGTTATTAAGCCAACGGAGAAAGTTAGCAAGTTATTAATCATGAATTTAAGAAGCAGATAAAAAGTGAGTGAATAGTCAGGTTGGTGAGTGGGGCAGTTTAGGGACAAAGCTTTCCAGGCCCAAAATTCCATAAGTCTGTGGGAATCAGGACGATCGAGTCGGTGGTGTGATCGGCTCCCCGTATAGTGTCAGTGAGATCGGCCGAGGCACAGCAGATGTAATAAGTACCTTCTAGTGGGAATCCGGTCCTGGGGTAGTTCTGTCCCGGAGCTGGTCTCATCATTCTTGGCACAGCTCCAGCCAGGCTTGTCATCTTGGGTGGAGATTCCCAGTTTTAGGTCCCAGTGTCCCCTGGAAAGAGTCAGATCCGGGTTGAAGGAGCAGGCAGGTCCAGTGAGCAGGTTCTGGTTCTGTGTCCTGATCCCTGTGCAGACAGACGGGCAGCTCCTTGTTGTTGCTCCAGAGTGAAAGGAAACCTCCTCCGGAGTATTTATTAGTTCTTTCAAGCCAGGCTGCATCAGGATCCCCGGGCTGCTATTGGCCAGCTAGGGGCATGTCCCGTCTGTAATGCAAGGCTCTGATTGGTGGAGCCGGCCACTTTCTCTTCCCATCATAGAGGGTCAGTGTCGGTGATCGTTATCTCTCCCAATATCACATCACACGCCGCATTGCTCCCTAATGGGCTGCTCTCATCTATTTATTAAATTCATTAACCCCTTCTTTTTTTTTTTTTTACGATCTGTGGCCTCTTGCTTGTGGCACACAACGCGTTAAAAGTTTCTGCAATCCGCCAGGAGGCGTCCAAAAAACAACAACTTTGCAGAACTTTCTGAGAAGTGCCATTTTTGATCTTGTCTTTGCGAATGGGTGTGTGTTTTTCCTACGAGTGGGTGTCTTTTCACATAGCATTTGTTGAAAGGAATTTATAGTAGCATTGAGGCTGGAGCAGGGGATAAATAGGAGCAGTGGATGGAGGATCCCTCAGCAGGGGATGACGCCAGGAAGGTTGTAAAGGCTGTCTCTCTGGAAATAAGGTGCCATTGTCAGCGGCCATTTATTTAGAACATGGTAAGTGCCAGCCAAGCGGCCGCTTTACACTTGCAGCTCTGCCTGCCTCTCTATTTGTAAAAGGCTATTCAGGGGACTGTCAGTGCTGCCACTGAACTCATTCACTGGCCTAATCAATCAAAAGGATGAGAAACATTCACATTTCGCCTTTGAAATAAAAAGAAACAATGATTTCCACGTTTAACCTCTTCCCCGCCGGGAGACACTTGCCAAGCAGCACCAGCTCCTGAATTGGGGGCTGCAGGAGGGAGGGGAAGGGTTAATACGGACGTAAAGGAATATCCCTTCATAGGATGGAATTATTAGTACATAAACATCGATCTGTCATCGTGGATTCAACAGTTGGGAAGAAATAAATATCTGCACATCCCGCTTTAGGCTGTGCATATGGAAACCCTCCAGCTTCAAATGTTTTTATTCAGTCTGATAAACTAAACACCTTTCTGATTTATTTTATATTTGTATCTTTTTCTATAGGACTTTCAGAGAAACATTTTCCTTTAGGAGAAGTATTGCACCCCCATGGAGTAACATTGAAGGGCTAACAATATCATTAAGTGATGTGATAATGATATGGAATAGATGCATGCATATTGTTTACATTGTTAGTTGATGGTCAATATACAAATAAACCAATCTAAGTACAAATAACCAAAGAAGCCACAAATCTATAGAACTGTGTAACAAAAATTAATACACTTCACTTTATTATTATTATTATTAATAATAATAATAATAATAATAATAATAATAATAATAATAATAATGAGTTCACTGCAGCTCTACCCCATTGTAATTGCTGATTACTAGGGATTTTAATACACTTCATTCAGACCGCATTTAAACGATGGTGACTCAGATTCCCCCTAGCTGCTCCAGTATAATGGCCGTGTCCCCCATAGCAGGTAGATTTACAAAGCACACATAGGACTATCCTCTGTGTACAGCACGGCGTGAAATAGGAAGTATAAAGCCATCGATAAGTAGATTGCTAAGGATAGTTTGGGGAGGGAGGGGTGACCGTACACCTTTTATTTATAAAGGACAGTCACCTGACCTCTGGGATGCGGTCACATCAACTAATGGGCTTTATTACAGGGTTATGATAAGGACAAGGCTTTTCAATGAACTGAACCCAGACTTGGCTTTTTATTATCACTGACTATAACAAAAAACTTAGCTGCAATCCTTAATGAAAACTGTGGAGAAAGATGTACCATATAAACGTTTACATAAAATCGACATAATTGTTAAAATGATAAAATAAGTAGCATAGTACATGATGTGCATTGCCTTGACACGATTAATATAATATATTCTTTCTGTGACAACTTATTATCCTTCTGTTGTCAATTGGTAAAATAACAGACGACTTAAGTGTCCTGTTTTTCAATATGATTCCTTCATTTCTGTATTGATTTAATTCATTTATTATTGCATTTCAGAGCATGAATCTATTACTTAGACCTAATAAGTTATCTTAGTGGTAACTGTGTGCATAACTGTAAATGTTCATTACAAATAGTTTACTAAATAATTCAAGGCTGTTCGCTTTCCAAAGTGTTCATCTATTTGACCTAATAAATAAAGTAAACCTTGTTCATTTTTAATACCTAATCATGTAACAATAAAATAAACACAGCAGGATTTTTGCTTGCACATGCTAATATGACTAAAATTAATCTTAAACGTATTGATTAAACTTGGTGAGCCTTCCCTTTACAAAATGAACATACACTTTCCAAAAATGAACATTCACTTTTCTAAGTGAACAGTCTCGGCTCCTTTAGTAAATCAGTGCCATTGTGTAAAATGTAAGCTGCTTGATGCTCAGCAAAAAAAGAATGCTGCAAATGCTACTGCTAAAAATGAAGAAGTTCTATGAGAGAGGGCCAGTGGGACACAATCCTCTGCACTAATTACATATGAAATGAGGACTGTTTTTAGCTCATTTGCAATGAATTCCAGTTTGGATGCCCCTGCTGTTCCCTAACAAACACATAAAACGTGCTCTTATGTCCCCCCAATGAAGCAGACACTCACTGCATGGACAGTCTGATCTGGAGCATTCAGGAGTATAGTGAGTCTGTACCATAGAGAAGTAGTGCCATTCACTGAACGGAAACTACTACTGATTGTCATAATTAATAGATCAGCCCCCGATTTTATTACTCATCATGAACATTCATGTATGGCATCAGAATTCCAGTCCCAGCACAGATCGCTTGTATGAGATGGTGAGAATAATAGGATAATCAGATTATTTTCCTTAGATCAAGGCAATCAGTTCAGTGCGATTGTGGCATGAGCTTGGACTCGGTCCTCTAGTGAATGAATAGGTTATATAACTATACTTCCTTTATGAGTGGGTGTACAGTTTATCTTGGGGGTCTACTATGGATTTTTTTTCCATCCCTATTTGTTGATATGTACACTATATTGAAATATATTATTTTACATGTAAATCCTACACAAGGGGGGCAGGCATCCCCAGCCATTGCAGCCCACAGCAAGCACCCTCCCTGATCTCTGGTCAGTATGGTATAAATGAGGAATACAAGTACAAGGTAGTAGTGTATCATTCGCCACAATTCTCAGCCTATTGGTATATTAATTGTAAATACTACAAACTAACAGCAGACAAACATTAAGATTGATGTTACACAAAGGAATAACTGCCTTTAGCATTCAGACAGAACACTGGCAGAGACGTCTATCCTTACACCTCCTCACTGGTGTGCATCTATGTAACATTACAGGCTTGCTGTGAAAAATCACAACAGGGAGCCATTTGTCAGAGCCCTCCAACTGCATTACAAGCCTGTTCAAGTTTTGCAAGGTGGGTTTAATAACACACATAAGCACATAACACTGCTGGGGAGAGAAAAAGTGTTCTGCCAGGTAGAGGCACTGACCAGGTAGACAACAGCCTCAAAGTAGGACTGAACCTTTCAGGCTGATTTACTAAAGGTCTTGAAAGTCATCCCACAATAAATAGTGTGAATATTCACTGTAATTATGCATTCATGTGCAGATGAAATGGGTAAACAGGGATTTTCTTTTCACAGGACTGGAGAATTAAAGTGCAAAACGAAAGACTTTGGTATTATGATTATTATTATTATTTTTCAGATATTTAGCATTTCTGTAAGATAGTTTTCATTGTCACCATTTGTCGTTTGCGACTGAGATCATCCTGTGTGGGCGCAAACATGTAACTAAATAAAAAATATATATAGAATAATTGCAATTTGGCTATTACTTTGTTGACTCAGATATCACTTTTGTATAGGCAATTAAGTTTATTTACTAAATGTTTCACTAAGGGGGTGTCAATTCTGTGCATCTTTAGTACATCGCCCCCAATAGCACCGTTCCTGAGAAGATCCACTGGGAGCATCCTAACTAAATGACATGGATGCCATGACATGAAAGACTTTAATTGCAGCAGCCTTTTTCCAGCGTTTGGCCCTGCAGCACGCTTCTGTGCACTGACTGTGCCATGTCAGTCCCATGTCACCCCATGATGTCATTATCTACCCATGTGAAGGGGAATGGCACTCAGCCCCAGCCCACACCTGGTGACTCCACTCTCTATAACAGATATGGTCACGTGATCAGAGCCTCACAACGCACATTGCTGGTCCCCAGCTATAACACTGACAACACATGCTCCTAACACCATTTTTATTGCTTAGGCCAAAGAATGTGGGCTTGCTCTAAACAGCCAGTCGTCAGTTAAAAGTATTATTTGAAATAGTGATTCAGTTGAATTTATTTACCTGCATTTGATAGGAGCTTGAATTAAGAAAAACATATATTTTACAGCACTATTTTATTTTTCAGATAAATGGTATACTATATGACCACTTGTTTTCAGCAGAGTACAGCACAGGCAGATGATGATGATGAAGAAGTAGCTGGAGTGGGGATTTCACGGTCCCATCCACCCAGGACACACTCTAATTACAGCCAGGTGCACCTTAAATGGGATTAGCACCCAGGCACTTACATCCATGGCCAGCATGACGAGCTGCAATGAGCAGCACTAATTCCCCCCTAAATGATAACATTGCTGTTTTTTTTACTTTCAGATGTCATGAAGCTCCTATAAGCTGGGCAGCTGTCTGTAGCCCCATAGTGATATTCTATCACCTGTAATTATTATTCGTCCTACTCAGGTCAGGAGCATAGACAGTGGCATCACATCTTCCTCTACATACCTGGATCTTGTATCACAGGCAGGTGGCAGATCCATGAGAGCAATAGGTAAAATACCAACCTTTCTTCATGCAGATATTCGGATCATAAAATAGAAAATATGAGCGAATCAATGCAAGAATCAGACGAATCTAGGGAATTTTACAACTCACACTTGGG